TATCTATTAATTGAACTCCATTCAAAACCGTTGTATCGCTTGTCAAACGATTGAATAGAGGTCCTAATAGCCCATCCAACCATCTAGATATTGCTGTTGTTGGAGATTTGAGACCCGACATAATGGGTCTTAACGGTGTTTTAGGTTTATGGGCTTTCGGTAAGAAATAAAGGTGGGCTAATTCAGCCCGTTCTTTTATAACTTTTAATTTGTCGTATTGATTTTGCGATATATGTTTATTCACCCATAAACCAAAAAGAAAGTCATGCCTTAGTTTTAGCCCAATATACTTGAGCTTTCACTTTATAGTCATCGAATTTTCTTACATGAAAAACTTTTGATTTATCTGTTTTTCTGATAACTGTATGTGTTGCTTCGAATTTCTTTCGTACATTATTAATTATTTTTAAGTGAACGCATGGAGGGTGCCTATCATGACAATCGGTAAGGATCTTATCGAGTGAGTCAGTAAAGATCTGTACTCTTTGTCTAGGTAGTACCCATCCATGTTCACCGAAGATTTTATTTATCTTCTTTACAACCAGGTCTATCTCGTTTTTCGTACGTTTATGGGCGAGATAGGAATTGTTTGGTATATATTTAGGGCTTAGTTTAAGGAGGGCCTCTTCTCTCCTATTTAAATTTATATTTGATTGATTAATTATGCTTGGAGCACGAAATCCTTTCGAATACTGGATTTAAATCCCGTGCTTCCTGTATTACGAAGGGTGTCTTTTCTTGGACGCTGCGTTCGGCTAAAAAAAAGAACTTCTCGTTCAGTTTCTAACAGACTTCTTTTCAATGCTGTAAAGAAATCTGAGCCTTGGCGATTCATCGTCCTATCATCCTGTTTTTCTTGTGATAGTGGTGTTTGAATTAGTGCTCTTTGAGTGAATGGTCTTTGAGTAAAGACTTCATCGTCATCTTCATCATTTTCAGCAGACCCATCAATTCTAGACCGTGTCGATGGCGTTTCATCATTATTATGTTGTGGAAAACCCCGAAGAAGTTTTTCTAATTTCTCATTTTGAAATTCGTATTCTTCTTTGGCGATTTTCAGATAAAGCTCTGTTGCTTTTAGTTGAACATCTCTTGATAATTTATGTATGTTTTCTTTCTCCTGGGCCTGTTCACTTGAAAGTGAAATGCCTTAAGAGCATCCCATTCATCTTTCTCGATAGAAGCACGATGAGTTCTATTGATGCTCATCTTTTCTAAAGCTTTTGTAGCATCTTTTACATAATCACACATAAGATTATGTGCTAGTTTTGAAACTACAGTGACTGATTTTAAATTTAAATTAGAAGAAAGTTCTTTCATGTTTCTTGTGATTATATTATTCGAATCAAAACACGCTGTTTGTAAATTGTGAAATTTTCTTTTCACAAAGTATAATATTCGCCTTAGCCTCTCGTGTTCGTGTCTTATTAACTATTTCTTTAGCCCAATGGTTTTTTTCTTTACGTAATTGGTAGAAATGTTGTCAGACCTGAGCGTCATAATTATTATGTACCCATTTATCATATGCTTCAACTGTATTTTTTGCATAAGCACATATTTCATTGAAAGCATCTCTTAAATCAAGTTTGACTTTATTGTCATTATTTGCTCGATCTTTTAGATAAGCGAAAATCTTTTATAACCTTGTAAGTAAGCCTTTATTTTTCGTTTATCTTTAATCGATGATTTAAGCTCATAATTAGTTTGTTCAGTTCCACTTAATGTGAAATAATCCTGTTCGGTTTCTGAACTAGATATATGATGCTGGTTAATTCCTCGCATATTATCTCGTTTACCTACACCATGTTCACTATTCATTGGAACTTCTGTTGTAGTTTTAGTTTGTATACGAACTCCATTGTTACGTGTGTTAGTATTTTGTTTTCTTTTCGTTATTTTTTTTTGTTGTTTATTGTTATTCATGGCATGTGTCTTATTATGATTACTATCATAGGCATCTGAGTGTTCATTATCTGTTTTTTCTTCGTCATCTGTTTCAGAGAAAAGGATAAGACGGTTATTATTTAAACAACCCAATTCTTTACTTTTTTCAAGTAAAATTGTTCGACTTCTTTGACACCTTTCTCTTCGACGGAGGGTATCGATATGAGCCTTTTCAGGTGACTTTTTTGGTCGACCTTGTTTTTCTGTTGAAACGTAGTTAGTCTTCTGAACGGGCATTGTTATTGATTGCCTACGATATTCAGGTAAGATCTTATTTTTAGTTTTATATGCCGGTTGTTGCCAACTTTCTGGCATAACATGAACCAACCGACGCTGAGTCGGTGTATTTCGTTTTTGTCATCCTGATTGTTTTACAATCCCACGTCGTGGTGTACGAAGGGTTTCTGAAAGATCTTGAAAATGTACTTGGTTCTTTCTTAATAAAAC